ACAAGGAAGAGGAGAAAAAGAAAGAATAGAAGAAAGAGAAAAAAAAAGAAAGAATAAAAGAAGAAGAATTAGAATGAGAAGGAAAAGGATAAAAATATAGAAGAGAAGAAGAAAGATGAGAAAATAAGAAGAAGAAAATATGTTCTTCTTCTTCTTCTAGTCATCTTCTTCTTATTCTTCTTCTTCTTCTTCTAACTTTCTTACTCCCATTTTTGCAGGTTTGATTCACTTCATGGAAGCAACATTGATGGACATCTAGTGTTTCGTTCTTGTTTTCATTTGTATTGATGAACAATGTGAAACTATGTATGTATATATGGATGAACTCCGTGAAACTATGTATGTATTGGATCTTTTAATACCCTATGTGTTCTGTTGCATTGATGGACTTCTAGATGTTTGATACATGGGCTATGTTTGAGGTTGAAACTATATATATCATATATATCTTTTGAAAATGCAGGGATATAACAGAAAAATAGAAAAAAATAGAAACATTACAGGCACTTTGTCGCCTGCCACCGACGGCAAAGGGGTCTTTGCCGTCTGCCACCGACAGCAAAGAAGCCACGTGGCGCAACCTGTGCACCTGGGAGCTGACCCATTTGGTTACTTTGCCGTCTGTGGCAGACGACAAAGGCTGGGGGGCATGACGCATGGCTGACATCACATAGAAGACGTCAAAGGGGAGGGCATGTTTGCCGTCTGCTGGCAGACGACAAAGCCTCCCGTTAGCCACCTAACATGGCTAACGCCTGTTATTTGTCGTCTAGGTTCTTTGCCGTCTGCCACTTACAGCAAAGGGTTTTTGCCGTACTCTTTGAGGAAGCAGACGACAAGAACCTGTTTACCGTAGCTTTCTTTGCCGGGCACCTTTGCCGTCAACGGCAGACGACAAAGAGGTTTGCCGTCCTCTTTGGTTCCTTTGCCGTGTCTGCCATGGCAGACGACAAAGAAGTTGATTCCAGTAGTGGTTGTTATTGCATATGTTGAGATAATCACTACACAGAGCCTAACTAAAACTGAAAATAACTAGAAAATTTAGTAAACAACACAACACTGCAGAGTATCCAAATAACGATAAATTTCAAGTGTAAGGATCTTAACATAGTACTCATTTTGAACCAGAGGAATACCACATATACATATTTTACAAAATAACAAAGAGCACATGAGTACATGAACTTCCAAAAGATCCCAATATTTGGAACCTAACTAAACCCTTCTCTCTCTCCCATCGACTCCAAGCAAGGCAGCACAAAAGGCCACAGAAAAGTGGCCATCTTTGGAACCTAGCCAAACCATCGACCCAAAAAATTCTAATACTTGGAATCTAGCCAAACTTGAGAGCACAAAAGGCCCACAGAAAAGTGGCCATCTTTGGAACCTAGCCAGACCATCAACCAAAAAAATCCTAACTTGGAATGTAGCCAAACCTGAGAGCACAAAAGGCCCCCATCTTTTGGAATATGGTCTGAATCCAACATCATCTACAAACAAAGAAGACAAAAAACTTACAAGCCTAGGCCTACAAACAAACAAGAATAGATAAAGGAGAGAGAGAGAGGCATACGAACAAAAAAAGATCAGAGAGGGAGAGGTGGTGAGGAGTGGAGGCACCAAATCGAAACATGGAGGAAACAAAGTGTAAACGGCAGCTTAGATATACGGCTTGGTCTCGCCAAAAGCCGCGACGGTCCCTGCCCACGCAGTCCCTAGAGGCCCTGCCACCGCATCCAGCGCCGACGATGCCGCGATGGCTGCACGAACACGATCCTCCAAGCCGGCGGCATCGCGACGCCGGCGGGAGGGCTGGCTTCGTGATGAGGAGGGATTCGCCGCTGCTGCCGCTTGGGAGCACGGGTCTGCGCCATGGTCCAGGCATCCTCATTGAGTGGCCGCGGTCCCTGGTGGCACGGTCATCGGCCACAGCGAGCGGGACGGGCGGGGCGGTGGGGATGGACGGGCGGGTCGGTGGGGTGAGTGGCTGGGAAGGGGCGAGAGCGACAACGAAGGATGCGCGGATGGGGAGGCGGCTAGGGTTCTACCACGGGGTTGCACGGGGGCTGCTGAGATTTATACCCAAAAGTGAAATGACTAAAATGCCCTCGGCGGGCATCGAATTCACATGCGGTGGCATGAGATATTTCATCGTGGGAGTAATTATTCCTTGCTACAGGAGCTCGTGTTCGATCCGGCGACTGACGTACTCCAGCGCCCCAATCCAAACGGCCGGAAACGCATCAAGGAAACGCAATGGACAACCAGATCTTCCTAACCGCGGTGAGAGCTCGGTTATCCCCGCAGTTCTTGTTTCTGGATTTGTTCGTTTGATTCTTCTTTATGGTACGGTTGTTTATTTGGATTCTTTTCATTTACCATAGATTGTTCAAAGCGTGACAAGTAGAATTACGAGGAATTATGAGTGTAACGATATTCATCAAACTTACCAGGCAAGTTACACCTTGATCACCTTTTATCCTATTTTTTTCTATGCATGTACTTTTATGTGACATTATGCACATGTGTTGGAATATTATGGTAGTATGTTATTGCTATTGAGATTCAACTTAGTATGGCCTTATTGTAGACCGTGGTAGTTTTATTCTTGCAATACTATGTAGACGGGGATAGGTTCATGTATTCATCGAGATTATGTGATAACTTATTAATGAAATGAGTAATAGCTAAAGATATAATTCACCTCTGAGCGGAAGTGGTATTGCTGGGTGGCTTCAAGAACATCATGGTTTCTACCCTCTGAATGCAAGTGGAATGCCTCACAGGTTCAAAAAGATCAGACAGACTTAGTGACTACTGGTTTCCATGCACAACCACTAGCTATATGGGTTTTGCCTTAGTTGAGTAGGTTGTGTGAACCTCGCTTGGGCAAAGCTAGCAGATATAGTTTTTGAGTAGGTGTACTAGCTGCCGGTGGGTGGAGAGGAATGCTTCTAAAAGACTTCGTCTCAATCTTAGGGTTGAGTCTAGTGGGTAAAGTGTACAAACCTTTGCAAAGTGTAAAAATTAATCATGATTAGCCGTGTCCTCAGTTACAGACGAGTTGAGCAGCTAAACCATTACACTTGTTGGATGAACTTGACAGATGTTACACCTTAATAAAACTTGACGGAACTTAATAATGGGAATAGGTTGGAGTTAGATCAATTCAACCATATGTATTTAATTGTAGCAGGACAATTTAAATTTTGACAATTATGTAGCTATTATGAAAAATTAGCTTTTCTGTAAAACAACCATTAGCCTATTCTTTTGATATACCTCGCATATAGAAGCAGGTTTGTTATATCATTCCTGTATGACTTGCTAGTACATTCGATGTATTGACCTGCAAGAGTACAACTTATCATATTGCATGGTTTTATACGATGTGTAAGTGATACGACGTTGGGTTACAATGTCTATAGTCAACATTTTGCCCGTGGTGTTGGTGGACTCCATGAAGATCTTATTTGATTTTTCATCATATTATATTTGTAAGCTCACCTTGAGCTGCGCAGGTATGTAATATTGGAATTATGAATCCATGATTTAATATTTATAACACATGGTTTATTCTTGATATTACATCATGTATTGTGTGTGCTACCTATTGATCTAAGGCCCAACATTTTGATCACAGAGACTCAAATTTTATTAGGTTAGGTCGTTACATAGGTTTAGCCACACCCGAGCAACCGATGGGTAGAAGAGAGCAGTGTCTAGAGCATCCTCATATGGAAGGCCCCACGACAAAGTGCAGGCTAAAAACGTAGACCGCCTCAGAACGTGAAATGGCGCCAACAAAAAAAATCAACGATAATTAAGGTGAAAGTTTCGGGGCATATATAGACCATCAGGCATCAGAGCCACCACGAGGGAGCCCCACAAGCCCTGTGAGCCCCAGGTTGGGCCTTGGCCCCTCGGTATTCTTTTGGCACAAAAACTCCTCACCTATGTTTGTTTGATTTTTTATAAACCTTTTGCATGGTGATCCTGAAATCCCCAAAATAGCAAAAATAGGATTCAACACTTGATTAATATGCTACACCAATAAGAATTGATAAAAAGTATTCCAAAGTGTATAGAATTGATAACAATATAGACATTTTCCAATAAAAATGTGAAACATGAACTGCATAAGTATGTTTCAGGCGTCCACCATATACCATCCATGATGACACAAAAACTAATGCAAACAAGTACTCTATCTGTTCCGAATTACTTGTTGCAGGTATGGATGTATCTAGATGTATTTTAGTTTTAGATACATCTATTTCTGCGACGAGTAATGTGGAACGGAGGAAGCAAATCTGAACTGGCTGCCTGACTTGCTAATGGACATGGTTGCATGAGTAGATTAATAAAATCACCGTATGATTGCATGGTAGTGAAAAATATGTTCTTTGAGTAATAGAGAAATATGTAGGGTTGCATCTATCTAGAAGTAGAAATGTTGATTTTCTTCACTAAAAAGGCATACTTTGATTAGTTCTTATATTACTCATATACGGCCTAGTCAAAACCTAGCTAGTCATTTTATGGCCAACTTTGGGAGGTCACAAATTCGAACAGCTGTGTGACTTGGATCTGGTCCAAAGAAAGTCATTGATATCATACATCGTGATTGTAACATTTGAGTTTGAGTAATACTCCCTCAGTTCGAAAAAGCTTGTCCTAAGCTTATCTCTCAAATGAAATAGAAATGTTTGGGGCTTCAGGGTTTCCTATCAAATGCTATTCAGAAAGCCCAAACAAACAATTAAAGCAGGTAAAAGGCCATCGAAAGGGGAGCAAGCCCACCTTACTCCCTCCGCGTGTCTCTTCTCTCCCGTCGTTCAAGTCCCAAGTCGCAACTCAGATCTCCCCGTCCTCCCAACCCCCGCGAGCTACCACAACACTGCACATCGCCTCTGCTCTCCCCCCGGATCTCTAGATCTCTCGCGCACCCACCCCTCGCCCGCTACGTCGCCGCCGCCGCACGCGGTGGCCACGGCGAGATGCTCCGCCTCAGGGCTTTCCGGCCGACGAGCGACAAGGTGGTGAAGATCCAGCTCCACCCCACTCACCCCTGGCTTGTCACCGCCGACGCCAATGACCGCGTCTCGGTCTGGGACTGGGAGCACCGCCAGGTACCAGCTCGAATTGGGCCCTCTTAATACTTTTCGTCCCCATTTCTTCTCGGCGTGCTAAACCAGCTTAGCAAGCTCTGTTTGCGATCGAATTGATATCTACTTGCTTTGGAATTATCGGCGTTGGGTGGCTAGGTGATCTATGAGCTGAAGGCTGGTGGCGTCGATGAACGGAGGCTGGTTGGTGTGAAGCTTGAGAAGCTCGCCGAGGGAGAAACTGGTATTCTTTGCAGTAATTTTGGTTGCAACAGCTTGTTAGGAATGACATAGGATCGTTATGCGATGTTAGAGTGGTAATGCTAGATTTGCTGGTTTTCTTGTTTGTTGAATCACAATGGACTGTTACTTAAATTGTTCAAATGCCTGTGTTTAACTGATTGCCAGAAGCCATGATGCATGTGTGGAACTACTTTACTTATTGGACTAGTTTCATGTAATGTCATTTATTCTCACACATTCATCCTTAAAAAGTAACAGCAACGATAATTGTTGCACTGAGGGGTTTGAGAGACTTTACATTTACTATTTTAGAGCCAATACATATTTTTGTCCTTGAACTATCATATGAAGCTCATTTTCTTTCTTGAATACACATGTTGTATTAGAAGGAGAACGCTGATAAGGCGTAGTACAAGTAAAACCGGCGAAAAATCAAATAAATAGAACAAAATGAGATCTAGGCTAGACAAATCTAGAAACTATGTACAAAGGAAAGAAAGCCAAAGCAAACAGAAGCAGAGCAAAAAGGAGACCAAATCCTATGGCTGCTTCTCCAAGGATGTAAGTCTGGTGGCCATGTGTGAGACACAGCACAGTTGCGTCCTCAAACCACAAAACTGACGGAACCAGTCCCTGAACTCTGAATTTTCGCTAGCTTACGTCCCACCGCTTATGTGGTGGTACATGTGGACCAACTGACTCAGTACGGCTAAGTCACTGTCCAGTCATAGGGTGCAAAAAAGACATTCAACGTTCATGACAATAGTCAACAGTAAGGAAGAGAGTTGAAATTCAAAGTTCAGGCCTTCAGGGGCCTGCTCGGTGGCTATATAACAAGAGCAAAATTGTGCCCCAAGTGGATAGTTTGAGAACCAAAGTTTGTTTCATTGTTTATATATTACCAACATCTCTAGTATAATTTTGAAAGTAATTTGCGAACTTACTTGGAAAACATTCCATAGTCCGAAATCAACTGCAGGCTAGGTTTTAATCCGTGTCGAAGCTAGCTGTAATTTAGTTTTCATGACAATAGTCTGTTTTCTGGCTTCACAACATTCACCTCAACCTTCGCTATACATGGTTTTTGGCATAGTTTTAAATGGTGGGCTATGCCAAATAGGGGCACCCTGCCCAAACAGCTATAGCGGGGCCATGGCCCCCTATTTTCTAACTTTATGAGACATACATCAATACCATTTAGTGGCACACTGCTATTTAGAACTTTAGTTTTTGGTTGTTTGCTTTATTTTTTTGTTGAGGAAATCGTTGACCGTTAGCTGCTAGGTTGGCTGGGGAGTAGGGGATTAATAGGCGAATCGGCAAGTTAATCGGCCAGTTAATCAATTAATTGGATGATTTATCAGTTTATCGGCTACTCGATGACCCTACCAGTAGGGATTAATTGGCAAGTTAACTGGTTAATCGGCCGAATTCTTGAACAGTTTTTTTTGTATTCTCTCTTTTCAAGATGGGCATGCAAATTAGCATACTATATGAGATATAAACTTTTCGCTTAGTCTGGCCTTTGTCAAAATCTGTGCAGATTCTAAAGGAAAGCCCACTGAGGCAATCCGAGGCGGAAGGTATTGATTGAAAGTTTTTTATATTTCCGCATGGCCCTTTCACATGGTATCTTTTACCTGACATCCTATGGGACAACTGTTATACTTCAAGTGTAAAGCAGGTTTCTTTTTATGATGACGATGTACGCTTTTGGCAACATTGGCGCAATTGCTCTGCTGCTAGCGAGGCTCCAACTGCAGTTAATCAACAATCGTCCGCTTTCAGTGCACCTGCACCATCTACAAGAGGAAGACATTTTGTTGTTATTTGTTGTGAGAACAAAGCAATATTTTTGGACTTGGTGACTATGCGTGGCCGCGATGTTCCTAAGCAAGAGCTTGACAACAAGTCACTTTTATGGTATGATTACTTTGCAGAGTATACATCATTATATCTATATGTAGTTCTTTTCATTTATTCACGGTGTTTACATGCACCTAAATCAGATGTGATTGCCAGGTTTAAGTTTTCTTTAATAATATTTTGGGTTGGTAATGTAAGGCATAAAATAGGAAAACCTTATTTTAGATGTGCGACACTTGTCCTGCATCAAAGTTTACAGGCTATACTGGTTGGATCCATTTCTGGCAGCTGAGTATCCCTGGGTCTTCAATGTTTACTGAAAGTAATAATAATTTATCATTATAGGCAGGCATTGTATTCTTAGTTTTCACAACAGCATATTTGTTCTTAAATCCTAATTACATGTGTTTTGTTGATATTAACAAATACATTTCCATTTGGTATGGGTTCCAACATTTTAGCATTATTCTGTAACTGGAACCTGGACTTGAACCGAGCTGAAATGCTACATTCATCATTCATCAACCTTATGTTTTTCTATTGGTGCTGCTGCATTTCATGGTATATTTACTTATTCAGATCATATACATAAGAAAATGAATCGATCACTGCCAAGTTCCGTACAGGATTAAGAACTACAAACAGCTTGGCTTATGTTATCTACCCATCTTGAAAACCCAATTCAACATACATCTCCTGAACAGCAAGTACTTTCAAACTTTAGACTAGTGCTAGATGTTGACTAAGAGCATGTTTGTGCTTTTGCAGTATGGAGTTCCTCTCCAGGTCATCTTCTAGTGATGCCCCTCTTGTTGCATTCGGGGCGTCCGATGGTGTGATTAGAGTTCTCTCAATGATGACATGGAAGGTTACACATCTTATACCTGCCCCCTCTGTTTCTCCGTAACTGCATTTTAAACCTAGCAGTTTGGTCCTTGCAGCTTGTGAGAAGGTATACTGGTGGACATAAAGGAGCAATATCTTGCTTAATGACATTCATGTCTGCAGCCGGCGAGGTAAATTTTCACATAGTCTGTTTTGTTTTAGGCTTTGGTCTCATCTGTTTGGTCATCAAACTGTGATTTACCCCTGTTGACTATTATGTTCACATGCCATGTGTCGTTTGTTGTACTTATCTCTATTTCATTGTTGTTAGTTTCTGCAGCATTTTCATTTTTCGCATGGTACTGTTGACCAGTAAGGTACTATTGTATATTTACTAATCAATAACAATGTGTGGCTACAGGTACATTTAGTTTCTGGTGGTAGTGATGGCCTGCTGGTATTATGGAGCGCTGATCATATCCATGACTCTCGGGAACTTGTACCTAAGATTAGTTTGAAGGTATCATTTTTAAACATTTATTTATTTCTGTTTTCCCAAAATGCAGAATATTTATGTAAATCATGTAAATGGTAGAATCGCCAGCTTCTCTAGCTCTCACCCAGGACTCTCTCTAAAGAGATGTGCTTCACACACACAAAGAGCTACTACTAGTGGGAAGCTTTATTAGATATCTCAACTGCCACAAGCTTACATTTTACATATCGGGTGCCTGCTTCTTATATAGGCTTTAGGGGAGGTGCTACAGTAGCCAACCTACACAATTCACAGCCTAGCTGTGTACCCTGGAAACTACAGCTAGCTATTACAGCTCACTCTCATCTTCCTTAACTACTAAGTCACCCAAGACCAAAATATCCTAAAAGGGCTGCTAGTCTGCTACTACAGGACACAAGGATTATCCTAATACATTTTGCCAAACTCAAATTGTCTTCTTGTTCTTCCATGCATCTGTTTGGTATATGACAAGATTAACTCTTAACAGTAAATAAATAACATTAGTAAGCAGTTTAGCATCTGGGTTGTTTAATACTGGCTTCTTTTTTATGGGTATCTTTTTGAAGGCTCACGATGGAGGGGTGGTTGCGGTTGAACTTTCAAGGGTAATGGGAAGTGCGCCACAGCTCATTACAATAGGGGCTGATAAAACTTTAGCCATATGGGATACCGTTACATTCAAGGTATGCACATTCAATATTTCCATGTAACTGTATGTTTTGTTAGTATTCTATAAAGATATATTATAGACTAGCATATTTGTTGTGCAGGAAATAAGGCGCATTAAACCAGTACCTAAACTTGCCTGCCATAGTGTTGCATCTTGGTGCCACCCTCGTGCACCAAACCTTGATATTCTGACTTGTGTCAAGGACTCCCATATTTGGTATTTTCTTTATCTGTTTGGAATGAAAATCAGATTGTAGATATTCTGTATTGATGACAAAAGAAAAAAAACACATGCATAATTTTGCATTCTGTATTGCTACAGGGCCATAGAACATCCGACTTATTCTGCTTTAACAAGACCACTCTGCGAATTGTCCTCGCTTGTTCCTCCACAAGCCCTTGCACAGCATAAGAAACTGAGGGTATGCTTCTGGACTGATTCCTTTAACAAAAAATGTTATTTTGTCATTTCAGGTCAAGCTATTGTCTTTTCTGACCTTTATCTGATGACAGTACAATATTGTGTAAATATTTGTTTCTTTTTCATGTTCTCCCTGCTTTGGTTACTGTAGTGCTACAGAGCTAGGCATGTGCGTTGTAACTAAAAATGTGACACACAGCCAGAGCGTAAAGCTCACAACAATCACCTGTCATGTACTCATGTTGTTAGCGTTCTTTATCCATTAATTATGTTTAAGTGTTAAATGTATGCTCCGAGTGACCTGTGGATGATGCAGTTTGCAAAGGCCGTATTCCACATCGTTCTGGACTTAAAAATGGAAAGAGAATTATGATGCATCAGCGAAAGATAACTTGAATCTACATAATGCCAAAAAAAAATCTGGTTTACGGTACTCCATGTCGCTGAGGGAATGCTGGTTTCCATTTAAAGATAAGGCCACCATGGTACATTTTGTCAAACATGCTAACATAGTCTGAAATTTGTGACTACTCTAGGTTTACTGCATGGTGGCACATCCCTTGCAACCACATCTTGTTGCTACTGGAACAAACATCGGTATTATTTTAAGTGAGTTCGATCCAAGAGCACTACCGGCTGTTGCTCCTCTACCAGCACTGACAGAAAGCAAGGAACACTCTGCTGTTTACATTGTTGAAAGAGAACTTAAGTTGCTGAATTTCCAATTGTCAAACACAGCAAACCCGTCCCTTGGAAGTGCATCTGAAGCAGGAAGATCAAGGAGTGAATCTATAGATCAGCTGATAGTTAAGCAAAGCAAGAAGCATATCAGCACACCCGCTCCTCATGATTCGTATTCAATTCTTTCAGCTAGCAGTTCTGGAAAGTAAGTATTTCTGCCATCTTATCACCTAGCACTTGACTACTACAAAAGATAGAGACAATTACACACTCGGTTTTTCTATTTCATGAATCTCTTGTTGGCTGCAGTACACATGCCCCCTAGCTGAATACTTTCTAGTCTTTATTCTGGATACTGTTGCATTATACACTGTGCGAGAGCTTTAGTGTTAGATGGTAGTTATTTCGCCCGTTATGTGCTGTGAGTTATTTGTTGCAATCTATGAAAATTTAGAAGTCAATGTTTGCAATATCTATTCTGTTTTGCCATGTCCTAATGTTTTGCGGTGCTTGTGTAAGCTATAGTTAGTTGCTCTGTGGATATATCTTGTGATTTCAAATAAATTTCTAAAACAAAGTATTTACTTATATGCAGGTATGTTGCAGTTGTATGGCCAGACATTCCTTCATTCGTTGTGTACAAAGCTAGTGATTGGTCAGTTGTTGATTCAGGCACGGGAAAACTTTTTGCATGGGACAGCTGTCGTGACAGATATGCTTTGGTCGAGAGTGCATTGGCTCCAAGGATGCCACTTATTGTGAAAGGTGGTTCCTCTAAAAAGGCAAAAGAAGCAGCTGCAGCAGCAGCTCAAGCAGCAGCTGCAGCTGCTAGTGCTGCTTCTTCAGCCACAGTACAAGTTCGCATTTTGTTAGATGACGGAACAGCTCATGTTCTGCAGAGATCCATTGATGGCCGTAGTGAACCGGTAGGTAATTGTCGTTTATGATATATTCTTTATGAACCATGGAGAATCTTTCTTCTCCTTTCAATACACCAGTTTGATGGAAAGACAGTGATTATATCTGTTTACTTTTGTGGTTGTTTCTTGATGGAAATGCAAAGATCATCGGCGTCACTTATAGAAAACCATCGTAAAATGCCTGATACATGCTGGAAAATTTCCATCCTAAGTAGCTTAGTTACATTCAAACATTGTCGAAACAAATATTTGGCCACATTTTGACATGATGCAGTAATGTTTTTTTTGGGCGTAATAGAGCTATAATTTTGTAATTATTTGATATGAAAAGGTTCATTTTCTCTTTTCTGGGCTGAAATGTTTTTAGTTCATTTAATGTTACTCTTTACCATACAAATTACAATATGAAATTTATTTCTGATTATATTGTGCTTGGTTAATTGTACTGATTACTTATTTTAAAAATCTGTCGGCGTTGCCGTTGTTCAGGAAATGCCTGTGCTTTAATACCGTGTTGTAGCTGTCTTGCATACATCATTGCTGAAACATAACGTGGTATGCAATGCTAATTTAGATGTTCGCATGGTTGCGTGTGTTAGGATAATCGTGACTTGATTCGTTCAAAGTCAGTTGTATTAGTGCGCGCGGCAGGAGCAAGCTGGATGTGCAAGTCTGTTAGCCGTGCATGTAGTTTGGCGTAATCAATTAGGTTGCTAGGAGTCCTAGTCAAGTGGATAATGGAGAGATTCCAGCAGGCGTTGCGTGGCTTTGGACGTGGATATAGGTAGTTTGTTTACATGCATCCATGAGGATAGTGGCTGGTTGAGAGGCCGGGTTGTGCGTGCACAGGTTAGTGGCATGTGTATGTGTCTCCTATTTAAGGTGTAGCCAGAGGTGCGTGTGTGCGCTCACCGTGAGGAGTAGTAGCTGGAGTTAGTCTCCAGGCGTGTGTAGTCTCCCATGTATGGTGTGTGGTATGTCCCCAGTTTGAGTAAAGAGAAGCCGTTCGTCGCCGAGGCATATGTCGCCGCAAATAGTCGTGTGCTTGAGTTCGTCTCTTCCGTTTGGTGTTCGTGTCGCCGGAGGGCTGGTTCGGCGTGTGTCGCCGGAGGGTTCGTCGCAACAGCGTGTTCTTGCTTCCACCTCATATCCTTGGTTGACCAGTTAAAAGAATCTTAACTTTCTGATGGTTCTTTTGGGCTCCTTGTGAGAGAAATTTTTATAGCACTTTTGTGGGATTTCAATCTATAGGAATTTTTCCATTAGAGGCGATTTAGATCATAAGACTGACAAACTCCTATGGATTGCTTTCCTGCGCCCCAGTTCTATAGATTCCTAGCGAGAGGTTTGACCTAATTGAATTTTCCCTTCATTCCTGGATGCACCTTCTCTCTCTTGGAATTCCTGCAAAAATCCTGTTGAGCATCGAGAGGGCCGTGTTTGCAGTTTTCGTTTCCTGTAGGATTCATCAAGTCATGGCATATCAATTCTTATCCCTGTTTCTTAGAAATTTTGAATCCTGCATTCCAAAGAGGTTTAGTTTACTGTGTTACTCTTAGTGTTATATTGTTTCAAGAGATTTATGGTTCTGTTCTTGCAGGTCGTTGGCTTGCATGGTGGTGCTCTTCTTGGTGTTACATACCGAACATCTCGTAGAATCAGTCCTTTGACGGCCACTGCTATATCAACTGTTCAATCAATGCCCCTATCAGGCTTCGGAGGAAGTGGATCATCTTTTGCTTCGGATGACCCATTTTCCTCCAGAGAAGGGCCGCCCCAAAATTTCCAGTTATACAGGTATGTATGCACCTAGGTATTTCATGCTTTCTGCATATCTAGAAAGTTTATTTATTGGCAAATGCGGAATGATCCTATGCTATGTATTATTACTTGTATTAACTTAGCTAACTTTTTTCTTTCCTATACCCATGATATTTGCAGCTAATGTTTGTGTTATCCTGAAACTGCCTACTTAACTACATTAGTACATTTGGTTGGTGCAGCTGGGAGACCTATCAGCCCGTAAGCGGCTTACTTGCACAACCTGAATGGACTGTGTGGGACCAAACTGTTGAATATTGTGCATTTGCTTATCAGCAGTACATTGTAATTTCTTCCCTGCGACCTCAGTTTAGGTATCTTGGGGATGTTTCAATTCCTTCTGCTACTGGTGCTGTTTGGCATCGTAGACAGTTGTTTGTGGCTACACCAACAACCATTGAGTAAGTTAACCCTTTTGTGTATAGTCCGAATAATTCATTTAGTGCCCCCAATATTTTCGTTATCATGTGTGCCCAATTTATGCTGCTGAGTCTGTTTGAAACTCTTGATTGTCTTCTAATAATGCTACACTTGGTGTGCGATGCAATATGGTAAATAGAAAAAGTGCTGTAGGAAGCTTATGACTCTTTGCGTGATTCACGTCATGTTGCCCAATAAATTTTGAAGACCATTTTACAGTCATGAAGTTGTATTGTAATATAATTTACATCCAATGGCTTAGAAAGTGGCAGTGCTAGGATATTGAGAAGGCAGCTACTTATATATTACTCCCTCCATCCCAAAATACTTGTCATGGTTTTAGTTCAATTGAACTAAAACCAGGACAAGTATATTGGGACAGAGGAAGTAGTTCTGTTTAATTTTTAATTTTAAAGTGCTATTATTTTGAATATTTGTTGTGGGTAAAATGGAGTTGTGGTCTAGGTAGATTTTTGCCAGCAAATGGTGTTTTCATGCTTTGACAGCACTCCTGGCTCTCGGAAAAAAAGCTTTGGTAGCACATGGGACTTCTTTCTATCTCTTGAACTTTTGAACAATATTTTGCAGGTGCGTCTTTGTTGATGCTGGAGTTGCTGCCATTGATATTGAGACAAAAAAGAGGAAAGAAGAAATGAAAGCAAGAGAAGCTCAGGGTCGAGCAGTTGCAGACCATGGAGATTTGGCTCTTATCACAGTCGAAGGTCCCCAGGTCACTGCAAGTGAAAAAATATCATTAAGACCTCCTATGTTGCAGGTGCGTATTTGTGTATGTTGAATGCTGCTAGTAATCCTTTTTTACTCTATTAGCTTGTTTTCTTCCTTGTTCACTAAGGGTGTGTTTGATACCCTGCATGACTCTAGCATGCTACCCCCCCACCCCCACCCCGCCTGAGACATGCATAGTACATACAACTGATGGTTGCCTGTATGTGCTGAGACTTCGTTTGGTAGCCTGTTTCTCTTGAGAGTTAAGACATAATGTGCTGAGACTTTGTTTGGTAGCCTTTATCTGAGGTAGATGTGGTTACCTCCTCCTTAAGGTGGTGAGGATACCACAATAGTTAGGAAACACAATGAAGTAAAATTTGCGTGCACAATTGAATGAAGATTTCTTCTTTACCTGGTAGTGTGTTCCCCTACTGTTTTATCAATGGTTAAATGGTAACAAGAGCACATGCTTTCTCTAGAAAAACTAATTAGTAACAAAAACTGCATATTCAAAGGAGTGTTTCATACGTGGGTCATCACAAAAACATTTGCATTCTCTTGAAACAAACTAGATGCACGGTGTACAGGAACCATATGTACAGAACAGTAACCAGCAACTTGTATCACAGTGCTCTTTGTACGAAGGTTTCAAAAATCCCTGATATATATCAAAATATGCACATTCAGATTCTAAAAGTATAAATATTCATATTCTTGATTATCAATTTCTATAATCACAAATTGGGAATAGAAAGCCTGCTAACCAACCAGGAGTTACTATTGCCTGAAGTAGTTTGACATGTTAGTTATTCAGTTCTTGGCTGCCGGCTGTAGCAGTATGCTCGTGAGCCACGCTTCTACTTGCTCCAAGGGCCTCCCGACACCGACAATACCAGCTGGGTCGCGCCCTCGCCACACCTGCGGGCGGCGGAGGGTGGAGGACTGCGGCGCTGGCGAAGAACAGGGGGTGGCTTGACTTGGACGGCGGCGGTTCAATTTGGACGGCGGCCCACAGTGCTCTGTTGCGGCGGAGAAGATGAGGAGGAGGAGGCGCACGGCGTGGTGGTTAGTCGCCGGAGTAGGCAAGAGCTCAAAGCGGAGGAGACTGCGCGGGGAGGTGAGGAACTCCGGCGAACAGGGCGGTGGTGGGGATGGGCGTGGCGGCGGCGGCGACGCTGGGATCTAGGAAGTGATGCGAGGCAGTGAAGGGGCTCCGGCGGCTGTGGTTTCCTTCGTCTCGAAGGGTTGAGAGAGTGGCGGCTAGGTTAAGGGGGGTTCATTTCGGGTGGGTAGCCCTCGTCGTCGTGCGTGATGGGTTGGGGAGGGCATTGGTGGGTTGCGGGGAGATTTTTCTGGGGGTTCAATGGAGTGAACCCTCCCACCACCTGTTTGCAAGCGAGCATGGCCGAGGCCCTCTTTTGCATGAGATGGGCATGGCTGAGGAGAGCCCATACACCCTACCAAACAGCAAACAGTGGGCCGGGTAGGGAATATCTGAGACCATTCGGCCTCCCAAACACACCCTAAATGTTATTAGAAGCCAGGGTTAATAGTAGCCAGTTTTGTAATCTATGTCATTTTGATGTTCTTCACTGTGTTATGCACGATTTCTCTTTACCTGTACAGCTTTCGTCTCCATGCTCCTTTTTACATGTAGTAGCTAGTATTATGTGCTATTGTTGATTACAGCCTGTACTCTAATTTTCCAGGTTGTTCGTTTAGCCTCCTTTCAGCATGCTCCATCGATACCACCATTTATAGTGCCGAAGCAATCCAAATTAAATGGGGATGATTCAGTATTTCTGAAAGAATTGGATGATAGAAGATATTCTGAAGTGGCTGTTGCTGGAGGAGGGGTATCGGTTGCAGTAACTCGCTTTCCTCCTGAGCAGAAAAGACCTATTGGGCCACTTGTCCTGGTTGGTGTCAGAGATGGAGTTCTGTGGCTCGTTGACAGGTAATACATATTGTAAGGACATCAAGAGCAGTTCCTTGATCCTTTATGCACAAGAGAGTGCTGGTGGAAATGGAAATAAAATTCACTCAAATAAGCCTAAGTTCTTAATTTTTATTTGTTCTGGTGATATCTGAGATGCCGATTTTGATGCAATTCTGACACTTACAATATTCCTATAAGGTATATGTGTGCACATGCCTTGTCTCTCAGCCATCCCGGTATTAGATGTCGGTGCCTTGCAGCATATGGAGATCCAGTTAGTGCTGTCAAATGGTATGTGTTTATGCTTTAGAGCGTTGCATTTTGTCTACTTACGCAAGCGGTAGGAATGACAACTTAAAACCAATCATGCAGGGCTACTAGACTTGGCCGAGAGCACCATGATGACCTTGCTCAATTTATGCTTGGAATGGGCTATGCTACTGAAGCACTTCATTTACCTGGAATATCCAAGAGGCGAGAATTCTTGCCGCTTTGATTGTTCTGTCGTCAGATATCATTATAGCATCGCATCATATTCATGTGTTTCTCTTTATTTAACTGTATTATCATGTTTTGAGTCAAGGATATCTGTTGATATTGATAGATAAATCCTCACTATTTTCATGAGTTTAAATTTGTGCTGATATTTCTCAGGTTAGAATTCGATCTTGCAATGCAAAGCAAGGACTTGAAAAGAGCACTTGCATGTCTGCTGACAATGAGCAATAGCCGAGACGTGGGACAAGAAACTACTGCTACTGATGTTACGCAGATTCTCAATTTAGCAGTAGCTAAGCAGGCTAAGCAAGAAAGTCTTGCAGATGCCGTGCAGGGAATAGTGAAATTTGTCAAGGAGTTTTTTGACCTTATTGATGCCGCAGATGCCACCGGCCAGGCTGAAATTGCTCGTGAAGTTCTGAAGAGATTAGCTGCGGCAGCTTCTGTAAAGGGAGCTCTGCATGGGCAAACCTTACGAGGCCTGGCACTACGTCTTGCAAACCATGGGGAACTTACTAGACTATCGGTATGGTACTTTGACCTAATAATATTTTACTGACAGAACTCGGTTCTCGGCTATAATGATGATTGCCATCCATAATGACAGTTATGAAATGTCATGATTATGGAGTACACCTAGACCACATGCCTACTATTGGCAATTATTTCTGGAATATGGCAAGACACCTTGTTCATGCATGCATGCTAAAACCTCTTGTCTGTTGACGTATTATGTTTCGTTTATGATGATTTGCACATGTTGCACTTTTTCAGGGTTTAGTGGCCAATTTGATCACAGCTGGCCATGGATGTGAAGCAGCATTTGCAGCTGCAGTTCTGGGTGATAATGCCCTCATGGAGAAAGCATGGCAAGACACAGGAATGCTGGCTGAGGCCGTTTTACATGCTCAAGTAAGTTTTATATTGAATTCCATTCGAAGAGCACTGGTGTCAACCAATCATCTTAGCCATCCATAATCGTTAGATCCAATGGCTAAGAAAATAAGTTGGTCATGCGTATGGCCTATTTGGTAGGTATCCAGATCATTGTTTTTGCAGCTCTCTGCTCTTGATCCACCGAGGATCTGAATCTAGCTGGTAAAAGCATTCAGCTACTGGTTGGCTCCAAAAACATTGAAATGGTGGTTTTGGAATAAATAGACCATAATACCCTTGGTTCCAACACCTGGGACTAAAAGGACACGCAATTGCTGGCTATCTTTTTAATTTTCTTATTAAGTCGTATGATTCCTTATGCATTTTAATGGACAAAATATAGCATCCCTCATACCTCAGTGAACATGGTATACTTTGCACTGTGATTGCACTACATAATGCTTGTGTATACATACACACTTTTTACTGTCAACAAGCTTTCAGGTATGCCTGGTTGGAATGTGCAACAATATCTAGTCCATATACTGTTACAACATGTTTGGTTGGGGGTAGTTAGAGTTAGGGATGGAAATTGAAGGGTACAGGCTTTAAATCTATGTATGGTTAGAGGGAATGGTAATTGAGGAGGGATTAGGTATTGGAGTTGAGAATGCAACTCCCACAGTTTAAACAACAGGGGAGGGGTTGGAAATTGTTTTAGTGATTCATCTTGGCCCTTCATCACAACTTATGTTATCATCCCTTACCTAATCCTCATCAATTCCCAGTAACCCAAAAAGGGGATGAAGTTCTCCCTCCCACACGTAATTTCTGTTAGATACCAAACAATGGTTTGGAAAAAAACCCTGACACACAATGTCTAATCTCAATACGATTCCTTCTAAACTCCCATTCATCTTCCCAATTATGCCAGACACGCTGTTAGTAATTCGTCTAGGCATACACGTACAGAAGAGCCAACAATTTTCAATGATCAAGCCTGATTTGCTTCAGTTTAACATCAAGTGATTGCTTACAGTCCACAACAGAGATCAAAATTGCATCAATTACATTCGTTCAATACACAAGGAATCACACACACGCAATGTAGTGCATCCTGGCACATGATGCGACACAAATTTGGATCTGGGCACACATTCAGTTCATCTCGATGGATCTTGCAAAGGGAAGACATTAGAAGAGCAGCGCAGCAACAAGGATCAGTTTTTTGGGGGCGTCATATGAGTAGGGTATACACGGTGCAGAAGGCTGTCGCCGATAGTTACTGGTACTGGTCGTCGTCGCATGAGCTCGTGCCGGTAGGAATAGGCAGCTCTTGTGCTCACCGTCGCCTCTAAGTTCAATGTAGGGGGCTAGAAAAGGTTAGAAATGATATATCAAATAAACCGGTACGGGGTCAGAGATGGCTCATGGCATCTGCAAGTAAGTTGACCCATCTCCTCTGGACAGATTTGTTTTGCCCCGTGAGGATTTACGGAGAGGCTGCCCCTCCGTTCTAGTTGTTTTTCTGCCCCAGCTCTTGCCTGCTCCATGGATCTCCTTTTGAGGAGCCAGATGTGTTTGGCTCGGCCCGTTCGGCTACCATCCAGAATCTCAGTTTGGGAGCCGTACCGAAAATGCCCTTATTATCTGCTACTCCTCGATTAATTGCTTCAAATATCAGAACATGCTCCTACCAATAGTCCCTATAAGACTTAAAAGCACCACTAACACCCTGCCTAGATGCATGTGTTTTCTGCTCTGCCTATATGACTTGTTCTTCCTCTCCTTCCCTTGATACCCTATTCTCCTCAATTGATTTCTGTATATTCAGAATGCATGAGTAAATGATTAAAAAGAATGGAGTTGATGCACTTCCTTGCAGTTTCAAGTTTCACCTAGCATGAGATCAGTCCATCTATTATGAAGCACTGGTTCGTCCTCCAAAAAATTATAATATTACAGAACATTGTGGCCGGAGGTTTGGTTTATATAATTCGTGCAAATACATTGCAAAGAACTTGTATGATTGCTAGTGACGTCATTGCTCGTGAGATAGCTAAGCATTACGGTTGTCTATAATAAATGAGTTCAATGCATTGTGCTGCTGCTGGTTTCCCTAAAGATGACGTCGCCTTTTTCACTTTGCCGAGTGATCTACAATGAGTATGATTTTCAAGTTCTTACAAGGATCTTCCTCTCTCTAGGCCCATGGTCGTCCATCGTTAAGGAGCTCAGTCATAACATGGAACAAGATGCTGCAAAAGGAGCTGGATCACATGCCAACCGTAAAAACCGATGCTGCAGCAGCATTCTTGGCTTCTCTTGAGGACCCGAAGCTCACTAGTTTGGGAGAAACTGAGAAAAAGCCACCAATTGAAATACTTCCTCCTGGAATGCCGCCTCTATCTGCACCTCCCATTATTATTAAAAAGGCTGCTGCAAAACCTGGGCTTCCTAATGCCGCACAGACCCCAGGTGCTCCCATGAATCAAGGCACCCCAATGGCTCAAGGTACTCCCATGAATCAAAGCACCCCAATGGCCCAAGGTACTCCTGTGGCTCAAGGTGCCCCCATGGCTCAAGCCCCTCCTGCTCTGGCACAAAGCACCGATGAGGTAAAGCCATTGGAGGCTACAACAGCTCCTGACAATGTGGAGGCTACAGCAGCTACTAGCAATGCCGAAGCTACTGCAGCCCCTGGTACTGCGGAAGCTACAGAAGCTCCGGTTCCAGACCCAACAAGCAGCAGTCCTGACGCTGCTGCTGCTCCTGCTCCAGCAGCTGATTCCAGTGGCACTGATGCACTTGCTGTTACTCCCAGTGATTCTACAAATGATGCACCTTCTACCAAGGAACCAGAGACACAGGATAAACCACCTTCAACAGAGGCGTCGCCATCACCTCCACCCAGTATTTCTGCTGTATAAAAATCTTTCTGATTCAGTTCTCATAGCAGTGTGACATTTTTTTTATGTGTGTTGATTCCTTTGTCCCACTGTAATTTTTTCCATTGGTATAGATATTTGTTATATGTAGTGCTCAAAAGACGACGAGCAGTATATGAGTAGCCATGTACATCTGCTGTTCTCGTCAGGAAGAGAACTATACCGCGACTGGAGCCGTAGCCCAAGCCTTTTGTGATTTGTCATATCATGTTGTTTGTGATTTGTCGAGATGAGGCAATTGAAGTTTTGTAAGATGAGTTAATCATGTTTGGATGCCAATGCTGCATGTTGATGTGCCTCGGAGTTCTTGTCGTGTGACCAGTTTGTATATAGTCCTAGCTCCATTTCTTTTTTACTTTCTGTATAATTTTTTTGTGTTGTTTTGCGTTTTTTTACCATTTAGTCTGTGCCTTATGCATGTGAATCATGCATTGATATGTGTGTCTGAAGTTATATGCAGACAAAGGATGTTATATGATTCATGGGAAGAATGCCGCCAGGTGAAGTAACATATCAATCTCTTAACTATTGTCGGATATGTTTTCAGGAAAATATAGCAACGAGCCACATACTTGTTTGCCCAGAATTGGACGTGCCTGCAGCTCAGTCAAAGTCGTCTCAAATAGCTAGTGTGTCTGAAGCGGATAGCGTAGGACGAACGATATAGTTGTCGTCAATCCCGAGACTTCTTCTGCTTGCTTAAACACATTCGTCAACCCGAAAAAGCTATGCCACTTTCCGTGCTACTCACGCTTCAGCATACATGTTTGCAGTTGTACTGCTTCACTTCGGTTTAAGAGAAGTCTACGATTAAACTTAGGGCATTGCAACCACAAGCACACGCACAAAGAAGGAAAAAAATGGAAAGCATATCTCCACGCATCATCAGGAAGCATATTTCCATCAATTAGGTTTAAACATATTTCCATGATCCACATATTAGGAAGGAAAAATCTTAGGAACTGAGGCTGGGGGAGACTTTGTGCAGTGGCTTTTTCCTAGAGGACTTTCTTTTTACCGTGGCTAGTTTGCTAAAGTGGTAAGGGAAGCAGCCCAAACCAACTATCAAACAACATATATACACTGTCTGACAGGGTGGCCTCATGGCCCATCACAACCTCGACCAACCACATGGCTTCTTTCCCAGGAAGCTTAGAGTTTTAGTAGATGCAGATGTTTTTTGTTTTGTAAATGTCACTGGTGCTGTAGCCGCAGTTCTTTCGAATTCTTGGGGTGAAGCTGTTGCTGGGACGCCGAAGTTGCTATAGGATCTGAAGCTAATTACTGAAGTCAGCTGCACTAAGGTTCTTGTTGTCCGACTATCGAGCTGGTTGAAGCGTGCAATGGGAGGACCGACATTTGGAGCCCTGATGCAGCAATACTTGCAGATTGTTTCCATTTAGCTACTGATGTTTTTTTTTTCAAGCATTGTCCAAGGGAAGCAAATAGATCGACACATTATTTAGCGAGGTTTTATTATGATTGTAAATCTAGATATGATTGGGTAGATGATGCTCACAGGTTTTTACTAGCACATATACCCTTAAATGTAACTCTGCCAAAGTTTAAATAAAAGTGCAATGAGGCTTTCCCTTCAAGAAAAAAAGTGAACTAAAATTTCAGAAGCCACGTAACTTCAGAAAATTCAGTTCATTTGGTTGAACTAAGATGGGTCTGAGGGTACCTTGAGGGTCACAAATTTGCATCTTTCTAGACCTCCAAATGCTAGGATGTGTGATTTTTTGAACTCTTTAAGCTTTTATGATGTACCTCGAGAATGTATTCGGAAAACTTTATATAATTTTTTTAGTTGGAACTCTGTATAAGCCTGGTCGTAATGAAAGTATCATCTCATTGATACCATATCATAATAAATATTATACTACTATGTGTCATGCATGACAATAATTAAAGTCATCTATTATACTAACTAGAAGAATGTCCGTGTGTTGCAACGGGGCCACATTAACTTTAAAAGTTCAATATCAATTATGTTAATATTACATTTAATATTCTCATACATATTAAATGACATTGACGACCTTTTTTACCATCAAATTCTCACACACACACCGTCTCCCTCCCTCTTCCTCACTCTCTCTCCCTCTCTCTCCCTCTCTCTCTCTAACACACACACACATATCCATCTTATTGGGTATGGGACCATAATCCATCTATTTCACACGCACACGCGCTGCATAACAATATAAATTATGTGTATTATATTTGCCACCACAACTGAGGGAATTAATTTCATGTAATCGGCAAGCCACAACTCCATGACAAATAATACATCTAAATTCTCAGCGTTATTTTTATGTAACATTGGCGAGAGGTAAACGACGGTGATTGTTTCCTTTCTTTGGAGATTGATTACCATCCGTGAGTTAAGCTGGGTAGTAAAGAAGAATCGGATTGTGATACGTGAATTGATTGTTGCCTTGTACGTTTGGTTTTGGTATTTGAAGATTGATTACCATCCGTTAGTTGGGTTACCAAAGAAGAAATCAATCACCATATGCAGAAAAAGGAACTACATTGCACATGCTTACACCTCATCTACTCGTGAGAATATATAGAATTGGAGCAAACAAAATAAATGCAGACAAGAGATAAAACATCAATGAGGATCCCTAATGTCTCGACTAATATGTTGTCCTCCAGTTTGAGAAGCACCTACAAGAAATTGGGAGGTGGGAGGGAGGACGAAAAAACCCAGGGAAGGTGGGACGAAAATAAACCCAAAATGGAGACTACCCTGAGACACTAGGAGTAGAGATCATTTAGTTGATAAGAATAAATAGAAAACGGTGTTAAAAAGGAGAAACATGTTAGAATACATTGAAAAACCAAAAGGACGATGTACAAGGGGATTCGCCCTGCCCCCCCGGGCCTTGCCACCGAGCCAGCTCAGCGGTCCAGTCCCCGCGCGGTCGTCTTCTCCTGTTCCCCGAGCCGCGTCGCTACAGAGCCGGGCTCCCGCCCAACTACCTCGCTGGCATCGAAGGGGAATGGATAAGGGTGACGCCCTGCCTTCCCTGCCCCATGGCCTCACTCCTCCTCGACACCCCCTCCCAAATCCACTTCTCCTCCTCGCTCGCTCGATCCCGTCGATCTGGACGAAGTCAGACGCCACGGCCACCATGACCGACCCCGTCCACACGGCCACTGCCCTCCCTGCGGGCTAGGAGCTTGCCGAGGAGCTCCGAACGCCTTCGCTACTTCGTCCGCGTCAACGAGATCAAGTCCAACACCCCCGCATCGACGTCGCTGCCGTCTTCCTCAACCTTGGGCCACCGCGACATTGCCGTACGATCCGCGCCGCCCCGAACTCCCATGTCTTCCCCTAGGACGCCATTAACACCGCCATGATCTCCTCTTGCCTTTCCCCTATTTTCCCTCTCGTTGGCTCTTGTTAGGTATTTCGTCGTGGCCAAGAACCGCCGTCCGCCATGGCCATTGAAGGGGTAGCCACCGAGCTCCTCGGATTGACCCCGTGGCACATGCCCGCTCCTATGCATGCCCATGCCCGAGCCTGCCCCTCTTCCGCGCCCGCGGGGCCACTCCCTCTCCATGCCCACACTCATGGTACACCGCGTCGGTCGCGCCCGTCGCTGCCGTCACGCTCGCCGCAACCACCGCACCACTGTGCCCCGCGCGACACACACCCTGGCCGCGCGCCACACTCCCGCTGGCTGTGCTCGCCCCGTCTGCTGCCGCCTATCCCTTCGCTCGCCCCGCTGTCGCGCCCCTGCCTCGCGTCGCCTCTAGTCGTGGCCATCTTCTGCCAGCCGCCCCCTCAGCCACGCCGGCCGCATCTCTGCCTTCCATCGTCGGCCGCTCGCCTCGCCTGCTGCATGCTGCTTCCTGCTGCTATGCGCTGCTCTACCGATGGTATGCTGCCGCGCCATGCCCTCGACACCGCCGTGGACAAATGTGGCGGAGGGATTGCTAATGAAGTACGAGAAGGAGGTGGCGGAGAAGGTGTGGAGAGGCAGGAGGTCTGGGGTGGTGTCACCTGGCTGTAGTGGAGGTGTTTATGCGAGAAGGAGCCGGAGTGGAAGGAGAGGTCACAATTGGAAAGAGTCACAAAAAAAATTCATAACCCGGAGATCTCATTCCAAAAAAAATGCTAATTTTGATGGATGGGTGATTTCCTTCAATAGGTGGAAAAGATAGGAAATATTGGTTGTTATCAAGGAAAGGTAAAAATTTAGGAAAGTTAGGATTTTTGAACTGATTTCTATGCAAATGGGGTTTTATTGTTTGGTAATGTGATATCAGTACATGCCCGTTTGTGACGTGTCTGTTATTTGTTTCCTAAAACAAATTTCACTAATAAGAGAAATCGATTGATTTAGATAAGTTAGGAAAGTTAGATTAAAATGTATTATTTGTTTCCTGAAAATCTAAAATTTGTTTCCTAAGACAAATTGAACCAATAAGAAAAATCGATTGATTTGCATAATTTAAGGAAGTTAGATCCGTGATTTGTTATACGTTAGAAAAGTTCTGGTTGTAATAAAGAGTGGAGAGAAAAATAAATCGATGGACCAGGGTGGGAGGAGGTGGTGGGAGGAGAGACGAAAAAACCCAGCGAAAATAAACCGCGGAGACTATTCACGAACTCGTCCATTAAAAATAGAGATATACAATACTATGCATTAGGAATATAGTATTACACACTAGTACCATACTTATAATACCAACCATTACAAGCAGCATAAAGTTGTTATGCTATGAATAAGGTGTCGCTCATTCTCTAAAACAATTTAGACCCGTTTAGTATCATAGCTGGCAGTTCATGTGGGAAGCAGGAGAGAGAAAAAGAAAATACTAAATAACATACTGTATTTATGATTATTAGTGTGCCATAAATCACTAAGCAAGTGCACATGCTGGTGAGAAAACTAATCAAACTCAGAAGGGTACGCACAGAAGGTCTCGTTCTTGACACAAAGGAAGAGCCTCTCGTACGCTAGTGCCATCTTGGTGGCCGCGAACATGGACCTGGCGTACTCCCTGCACGCCCGGCCGCGCTCCGCGGCGCGCCGGGCGCCATCCTGCACCACCGCCTCCAGACTCTCGAGCAGCGACTCCACGTTGGGCGCGAACATGTGGCCGAACTCCTCGTCCACCACGATGCTTCCCTTGATGCTCGGGAACCGCGTGGCCACCACCGGCTTGCCGCATTGCATCGCCTCCATGAGCGTCAGGTCCAGGCCCTGCGGCCGCAGCGTCGGGTCCACGAACACGTCCAGCGCGTTGTAGAACGCCCTGAGCTTCCCAGGCGGCACCGCGCCAAGCACCTTGGCGTTGCGTCCCAGGTCCATGTACCTCGACTCCCACGGCCCCTTGCCGGCGACGAGGAGGTACACGTTCGGGTGGCGGAGGGCGAGCTTGGAGAAGGCCTCGTAGAGCAGCGGGTGGCCCTTGTCCTTGACGAGCCTCCCGGAGACGCCGAGCACGAGGTCGGCGCTCTTGGGGAGCCCGATCTCTTCCCGGAAGGCGCGGCCGAGCTCCGTGTCCGGAGTGAACTGCGCCTCGTCCACACCGTTCAGGATTACGTGCACGCGGCGGCCGGGGATCTGGTACACGTCGCGGAGCATCTCCCCGGTGGAGTCGCTGATGGCCACCTGGTGCGCGTAGCTCCGGAAGAAGCGCACCTCGGACAGCACCCGGTGCACCGACTGCGACAGGCTCTGGTTGAACGCCGGCGACATGGGCTCGTCCTCGCCGCGGGCGAGGTCCTGGTAGATGCCCGAGTGCAGCGCCTCCAGGGAGATTCCGTGCCACGACACCACCAGGTTGGGCACGCCGCGCGCGTACCGGTGGAACACCGCCACGCTCTCGGAGTGGATGACGTCGAATGGATCGTTGTCGCCCTCAGCCTCGTACAGCTTCCACGCCTCGTCGCACCGCCACTGGCCGGGGGTGCCGTCAAGGAAATGCAGCTGAGGACCATCGGCGGAGGGCGAGGGCGCGGCCTCGGTATGCGGTGGAGGCGAGGTGAACACGTGGACGCGGTGGCCCCGCGCGGCGAGCGCCGTGTGCAGCGTGTGCGCGTGCCGCTCCATGCCGCCGGGGGCCGTGGCCACGGGCCACTTCCGCGAGAACACGGCGATCTTGAGCTTGGCGAGGGGCGGCTTCGACGACATGAACGGCAGGTGGTTCCACGAGAACTCGATGTCGCGAAGGTCTCCGGCGAAGCCGCTGACGCTCGAGGATGAACGCCTGGCGGTCGTGAGGCTGCTGAAGGGCGGGGAGCACGCGGAACGGTGGATGAGGAGGTAGAGGAAGGGGACTAGGAGGAGGAGGGAGAGGAGGGCAGGGGAGAGAGAGAGCATGGGGTGGGAGGGGCACCTCGGCTTCCTCGGCCTCTGCAGGGACGTTGGTGCCATCACGTCATGCACTAGCTCTACTGCTCGAGCTAGCTAGACAGTCAGTCATGCATGCATGAAGGCTGCATACAAAGGAAGATGGAAACAAGGGAGAAGGGAAATACAGCAGTTTATGAGATGTTGTGGAAGGAGGGAGAGTGGAGTTGAAGTGCGTTGTAAGGTGTTGACATTGGGGTGCGAACTTCATGCTTGCTTTCCATGCCTGAAGTTACTTAGGAAGATGGCCATGGGGGATGTGATCATCGTGCAATGTGAATTCCCCTAGTTTCAGATTTTTATTTTCAATTATGGCACAGGATTTTTTTTAGCAAAATTAACGCACAAATATTTAGATTTTTTGGGGGCAAATGGGGAGAGGAAAAATTAAATGGCGAACAGTTGCCAGATTGCAAGAGGTACCAACGTATCCCGATCCGTCCGATGCGAATCACTGGAATCGAGCGAGGCGAGCGCTTCTGCCGCCATATCTCGCCTATAGCGAGAGTACCTTCTGTCCCGCCTACAGTATTTGGCCGGCCCGTTCTAGCGATCGAGGCGCTCGCTCGTTCGCTGCTAGCGCTTTACTTCTCTGTTTTTGTTTTTGTTTCTTCACACGTTTCTTCATTTTCTCTCTTTTTTTCTTCGTTTTATTCCAGGTTTTTACTGGGGTTTTTTCTTCAGTTTTTTGTTTCTTCTCAGTTTTCTCCGGTTTTTCCTGTTTTCTGCGTTTTCTTTTCTTTTTTGCACTTCTCAGGTTTTCTTGTTTTATTTTATTTTTTTGTTTTTTCATTGGTTTCCTTTTCTTTTTTTCCCAGGTTTTGTTTTCCTTTTTTTAGTTATGCTTCTGTTTTTTTGTTTTTCCTTGGTTTTCTTCATTTTCTTTATGTTTCTTTCTCAGTTTTCATATTTCTTCAGCACATGTATATTTTTTTCAGTGCTCAATTGTACACGTGATTTTTTATACACGTTGCACATTTCTCAAATACATGATGTACATTTTCTTAAAAACAAGTTACGAACACTTTTTCGGATACATGGTCAACAGTTTTTCAAATACACGCTGAACATTTTCTAAAATTGCATATACAAGATTACCATTTGTTCAAACATATGTTTTTGATGTCTAATTTTTCTATAAACATTTATACATTTTTCATATACATCATGAACATTTTATACACATCTAATATTTTCCAAATACATGATAAACATTTTTTTCATACACATTGTATACTTTTTTGTATACATGCAAAATATTTTTCTAGACACATTTTACATTTTTCAAATGGCTGATTAACATTTTTCAAATACCCGATCAACATGTTTTCAAATGATTGATTAACATTTTTAAATACATGATCAACTTTTTCATACACATTGTATATTTTTTGTATACATGAGATTTTTTTACACATTTTACATTTTACAAATGCTTGATTAACATTTTTCAAAATACTAGTTCAACATTTTTTCTAATGCTTGATTAACATTTTTAAAATAAAGATCAACTTTTCTCATACACATTGTATTTTTCGTATACATTTTTCATATACATGAGTAAGATTTTTTCTATACACATTTTACATTTCTCAAATGCCTAATTAACATTTTTCAATTGTATTATGGAAAGTTTTTATGTAATACTACCTCCGTTCCTAAATATAAGTATTTTTAGAGAGTACAATATGGACTACATACATGGCGAAATGAGTGAATCTACACTCTAAAATATGCTATATACATCCGTATGTAGTTTGTATTGAAATCTCTAAAATGGCTTATATTTAGAAACAGAGGGAGTATAAATTTAGAATATTTAGAAGTGACAAAAAAAGATGTAAAAAAGGAAAAATGAGGTTCTGGCCTCACGTGCTTGGTCGGCCCAGTCTGGCGTTTGCTTTGGGCGAGGCTGCCCTACGTCTCGCTTTAAGCAAGACATAGGGGTACCCAACCGAGCTCATGGGCTACACTAGTGGGCTTATATACACTTAAATACCAAAAAATACCATGGCATTATATAAAATAGACCATGGCATTATATAATGCTTACAAACACATACCATAACCCTAATCCTAGTGTATAATGCTTACAGCACATCATAAACCTCATAGAAACCTACATCCCACCATTTTTACAATGAATTTATGACAAACCCCCAAACTTGGTTTGCGGTTTGCCCAAAAGTTAGTTGTGCCACCAAAAAGGAGATTCAACAAATCAAATTTGTGGAAGTTGAGAGAGGTTACCTCAAGGGATGGAATTCACCGAACAAATGTCACCGATTTAAGGTGGATTTGAGAGGAGTTTGAATGAGGGAGAGAGCCAAAGAGGGCACCACCTCGGGTGGGAGAGAAGGAAGAAGAATGGGGGTTGAATGAGTGGGAGGGTGGCCACTCGACCATGCCTCCAACCACTTAGCTCTTCCGGGGGCTACCGTGGCCTGTCGTGGCGGTAGGGTACGTATCTAAGCTATGACCATGATCAAAATAGTGGCCGCTTGGCCATGTTAGTTCGGTTAACGGGAACTGCCCGAGCATGAACCATGGCCTACCGCTGTTGATTGTAGCGGTAGCCCAGTTGCCCTACCGTCACCATGTAGCAATCACAATGTGAAGGGTTATTAAGTGTTAATCTTGTGATCCAACTTGTAAGCTTCGACACAGATCTGGATGACTCAAAGTCATAAACCGGATACATGTATATTTTGAATGGTGGGGCAGTAAGCTGGTGCAGTTGCAAGCAGAGCATCGTGGCGGGATCTACATGTGAAGCGGAGTACATGGCAGCCTCGGAGGCAGCACATGAAGCAATTTGGGTGAAGGAGTTCATCACCGACCTAGGAGTCATACCCAATGCGTCGGGGCCGATCAAGCTCTTCTGTGACAACACTGGAGCTATTGCTCTTGCCAAGGAGCCCAGGTTTCACAAGAAGACAAGGCACATCAAGCGTCGCTTCAACTTCATTCGTGAAAATGTTCAAGATGGAGACATAGATATTTGTAAAGTATACACGGACTGAATGTAGCAGATCCGTTGACTAAACCTCTCCCTAGAGCAAAACATGATCAACACCAAAATTCCATGGGTGTTCGATTCATCACAATGTAACTAGATTATTGACTCTAGTGCAAGTGGGAGACTATTGGAAATATGCCCTAGAGGCAATAATAAAAGCATTATTATTATATTTCCTTGTTCATGATAATTGTCTTTATTCATGCTATAATTGTGTTATCCGGAAATCATAATACATGTGTGAATAATAGACACCAACATGTCCCTAGTAAGCCTCTAGTTGACTAGCTCGTTGATCAACGGATAGTCATGGTTTCCTGACTATGGACATTGGATGTCATTGATAACGAGATCACATCATTAGGAGAATGATGTGATGGACAAGACCCAATCCTAAACATAGCACAAGATCGTATAGTTCGTTTGCTAGAGTTTTCCAATGTCAAGTATCTTTTCCTTAGACCATGAGATCGTGTAACTCCCGGATACCGTAGGAGTGCTTTGGGTGTGCCAAACATCACAACGTAATTGGGTGACTATAAAGGTATACTACGGGTATCTCCGAAAGTGTCTGTTGGGTTGACACAGATCAAGACTGGGATTTGTCACTCTGTATGACGGAGAGGTATCACTGGGCCCACTCGGTAATGCATCATCATAATGAGCTCAAAGTGACCAAGTGTCTGGTCACGGGATCATGCATTACGGTACGAGTAAAGTGACTTGCCGGTAATGAGATTGAACGAGGTATTAGGATACCAACGATCAGATCTCGGGCAAGTAACATACCGATTGACAAAGGGAATTGTATACGGAGTTGCTTGAATCCTCGACATCGTAGTTCATCCGATGAGATCATCGAGGAGCATGTGGGAGCCAACATGGGTATCCAGATCCCGCTATTGGTTATTGACCGGAGAGTCGTCTCGGTCATGTCTACATGTCTCCCGATACCCGTAGGGTCTACACACTTAAGGTTCGGTGACGCTAGGGTTGTAGGGATATATATATGCAGTAACCCGAATGTTGTTCGGAGGCCCGGATGAGATCCCGGACGTCATGAGGAGTTCCGGAATGGTCCGGAGGTAAAGAATTATATATAGGAAGTGCTATTTCGACCATCGGGACAAGTTTCGGGGTCACCGGTATTTTACCGGGACCACCGGAAGGGTCCCGGGGGTCCACCGGGTGGGGCCACCTATCCCGGAGGGCCCCATGGGCTGAAGTGGGAAGGGATCCAGCCCAAAGTGGGCTGGGGTGCCACTTCCCCCTAGGGCCCATGCGCCTAGGGTGGGGGAAACCCTAAAGGAAGAGTCCTAGGAGGGGAAGGCACCTCCTAGGTGCCTTGGGGAGGAGGGATTCCTCCCTTGGCCGGCGCCCCCCTAGGAGATTGCATCTCCTAGGGCCGGCGCCCCCCCTAGGCCCCCTATATATAGTGGGGGGAAGGGAGGACCTCTCACCTTTGCCTTTGGTGCCTCCCTCTCCCTCTCCAACACCTCCTCCTCCTCCATAGTGCTTGGCGAAGCCCTGCCGGAGTACTGCAGCTCCATCATCACCACGCTGTCGTGCTGCTGCTGGAGCCATCTTCCTCAACCTCTCCTTCCCCCTTGCTGGATCAAGAAGAAGGAGACGTTACGCTGACCGTACGTGTGTTGAACGCAGAGGTGCCGTCCGTTCGGCGCTAGGATCTCCGGTGATTTGGATCATGTCGAGTACGCCTTCCTCATCCCCGTTCTTTGAACGCTTCCGCGCGTGATCTACAAAGGTATGTAGATGCAATCCGATCACTCGTTGCTAGATGAACTCCTAGATGGATCTTGGTGAAACCGTAGGAAAATTTTTGTTTTCTGCAACGTTCCCAACAGTGGTATCAGAGCTAGGTCTATGCGTAATTCTCTTGCACGAGTAGAACACAATTTGTTGTGGGTGTTGATGTTATCAACTTTCTTGCCGCTACTAGTCTTATCTTGCTTCAACGGTATTGTGGGATGAAGCGGCCCGGACC